TCGAATGCAATTTTTGCAAACGGTGGGTGCACTGCCGTTGCGACAAAGAGGTACCGAAATCATACTACGAATTTATGAGAAATAACCCATGCCCGTGGTTTTGGTACATCTGTCCACTCTGTCGCCCTGGTGTAGTCACACAGAGCGTGTCTGCGGTTAGCAGAAACAACACGCCGCCCTTGTGTCCCAACACGGTCTTATGTAGCTCCCCACCTGCTAACGTCACATTGCCAAAACTTGGCACAGACAGTAAGAAGGACACTCCTGTCCTACTGACCGAAAATGCCAATTTTCACAAGGTGAAGATTCATAAGGCTGGACCTAAAAAATCAAGGAAAGATAGAGTTAGAGAAGCACCACTTGCATCCACAAGCAAGCTTGGCAACACAATAAAGGCTGGTCAGAACCCGATGAAGCCTAAAGTTGCTGATGCTGCAAAGGAATATGAGAAGCCAAAGGCCAAACCTAAGTCTGAGGTTAATCGGTCTAATTCGCTCATCCTCTTTAACGTACCTGTGAGCAAGGACAGCTTGCTTGAACAGCGGGCCCTGTTTGATCAGGAACAGTGGTCCAACCTGTGCAATAAACTAGGTCTGAATATTAGTTCAGTGAAATTGTGCAGGCTGTACAGGGGTGTCCACACACCTCAAGGTAAGCCACCCCCATTACGGGTTACACTGGACTCTGCCGAAGAGGCCGAAAAGGTACTATTGATGGCTCAGGTACTAGCCATCGACAGAAGCTCTAACATAAGGGTGAGACAAGACAGACCATGGGCTGTCAGACAAATGGCAAGGGAGTCACCGGAACTTTTGCCTTCCACCTCTATGGTAGTGCACGGTGTCCCGGAGCTGGAAACGGGCACTGCCTGTGAAAAACACATGCATGACGTACAGCAGTGGAGATGGCTGTCGTCTCAGATGGCCCTTGGCGCTTCTGGAGCCATCTCCGTTTACCGACTACCTCGCCCCGCTCATCTCACACTGATTAGCTCCCCAAGGCTGCTTAGTGTCACATTCAACTCCCCAGAGCAGTTGGCCATAACACTTCAACGGTGGTATGAGATCAAGGGGAAATTGGGAGGAAACATCCGATGTTGCGAAAGCAGACCTCGAACCATAAGGAGGCAGCAAACTGAGGCTTTAATACGTCCCCAAGCTTCAGTGACACTCGAGCGATGCAGTTCTGAGAATAACAGTCTGTGCCACCCAAGTGTCCTGCCCAAATCCAAGGGAAAAAACCACAATGGGCCGGTTCCATCGGAACTGGCCAATTAGTCCCAACACTAAGTTCCCTACCAGCAGATAGCTTCACGTCAACTACCCCACAACACGCTGAGGTTGTAAGACTCACTGTCAGCTGCCTGTATAGCAATGTGAGGGGGCTGAGAGTAAAAATAGGTGAACTCCGAAATCTCCAAGCACACCTACAACTGAAAATAATCATTCTCACCGAAACATGGCTAACCCCCACTATCGCCGATAATGAAATCAGTATAGGTGATATGGTTTTGGTCAGGAGAGACAGGGACAATAAGGAAGGAGGGGGAGTTGCCATATACTTTGATAGGCAACTTAAATGTGTTCGCGCAACGGACCCACCACTTATTGAACTCCCAGACTCCATATGGTGTCATTTCACCGTAGGCCACACCAAGCATTTACTTGGTGGCATCTACCGATCTCCCACCTGTGGGGCAGAGCACAATCAGCTACTGCTCAGCACTATCACAGGGATACGAGACTTGGGCTATGACCAAATCACCATTGCTGGAGATTTCAATGCCCCATCACTGAACCTTGGCTCGGGGTATGCTAAGGGAAAATTCGGCCGAAATCTACTGCAAGCTATTCGGGACACGGGACTGACTGAGAATGTTGGAGACGACACTAGGTGGGGCCCTAGTGGAAAGTCATCAAAACTAGACTACATTCTAACTAGTGACCAACTACTCGTCGAAAAGGTCCAGGTCATGACTCCTCTAGGAAGTAGTGACCATGCAGTCATAAGTTTCGACCTCGTTCTCCGTGAGCACTTGCAGTGGGACGCTACGCAACCATGTCTGTGTTACAGCAAGGCTGACTACGCTGAAATGCGGAGGCTCTTGTTCGATGCAGACTGGCCCTTAGCATGGGATGAGCTGTCTGTGGATGAACACTGGGAAGCGGTAAAAAAGATTATTCATACAGCGATCTCGGATACCGTCCCTTTAGTCACAGCACAGCCAAAAAGAAAATCATCATGGTTAAAGAGAGGCACGCAGCGTATTCTGCAAGCAAAGAGGAAGGCTTGGTTTACGTGGCGCGTATCTGGAAGCCAGATCGACCATGATGCATACCTGGAACTCAGGAACCGGTGCAATGCAAGAGTCAGGAGGGACAGAAGGTCATTCCAGGCTAACCTTGCTAAAAAACTCCTGGCAAACCCGAAGAATTTGTACCGATTCATGTCGGAAAGGAAACCAACCAACCAAGGGGCTTGCGCCTTAGTAGGCCAAAACGGTCAATATCTCACTAGTCTGGAGATGGCTGAAACGTTCAGTTTAGCCTTCGCCAAACAGCTAAACAGCAATGTGGGTATTACCGTTACGAACCAAAATGGTGGCATGACTATTTCACAGGAGGAAGACCAAATAGCCACCCCTCAAATAAACCCTGCAATAGTACTGAGAAAGCTGCAGCGACTTATACCTGGGAAGTCCCCAGGTTGTGATGACATCAGGCCATCTGTTCTGAAACAGTGCGCCGAAGCTCTCTATAGGCCTTTATGCGACTTGTTCCAACACTCCATGGAATCGGGGAAACTGCCAAAGGAATGGAAAAGAAGCATCCTTTCTCCGATCTTCAAGGGTGGGGATAGGCAAAATCCCACCAGTTATAGACCAGTAGCTCTACTCCCAGTGGTATCGAAAGTACTGGAAAGTATTATTGATGATCACATCAGGGAATATCTGGATAGGTCTAAAATACTCCATGAAGCCCAACACGGTTTCAGGAAAGGAAGATCCTGCGTCACTAACTTATTATCAGCTTGGGACGATTGGACATCATGCTGGGATATGAATGTTCCTGTCCATGTGATCTTTCTAGACTTTGAGAAGGCATTTGACACTGTTCACCATGACCTTCTCCTACACAAAATAAGCCAGGTAGGTCTAGGTAAACCACTTCTGTCATGGTTGAAGGACTACCTAACTGAAAGGCAATTTTGCACCAAGGTCAACCGAGTCCGATCATCTTGGCACAGCTCGTCATCAGGAGTGTCGCAGGGTTCTATCCTGGGACCACTGATGTTCTTGATTTTTATCAATGATTTACCATGCCGTCTAAACTGCCCGACTCTTCTATACGCTGATGACGTAAAGATATGGAGGGCGGTAAAGTGTCCGGAGGACTCAGATAGGCTGCAGGCAGATCTAAGGCTTCTGGAAGACTGGGCGGTGACCAGTGGAATGACTTTCAACCTGAAAAAGTGCAAAGTAGTGAAGTTACGCACCTGTAGACTGCAGAATGCAAGTTACACCCTGTGCAATGAAAGCTTGTCCTGCTCAACGTCGGAACGTGACTTAGGTCTAGTTCTAACGGAGAAAATGGACACAAGCGTGAATTACACGGGGGATGTAGCGAGGGCATATGCGGTCATACACTTTACACATAGACAATTAGGTGCACTCACTCCTGAGCTCTTTCTAAGGTTGTATAAAACATACGTCAGACCGCATCTTGAAGTGCATAATATCATTGCACCCCCACTGCTTAAAAGAGACGCCAACCTCTTGGAAAGAGCCCAACGACGGGCAACAAAAAGAGTGGTTGGACTCCGAAATAAACCATATGACGAAAGGCTGAAGAAATTAGGCCTATTCACACTCAGTTACCGTCGCCTGAGGGGGGATTTAATTACTGCCTACAAAATAACAAATGATCAGAATCACCCGAACAAAGGTGTTCTGCCATTGAGTAGGTATAGGCTCCCTCGTGGAAATCCCAGAAGGATAGCTCATCAGAGGGCAAGGACCCGGGTGCGCTCCCACTTCTTTTCCCTGCGGGTTTGCCGTCCCTGGAATTCCTTACCGGCAGATGTAGCTATGGCACCATCTGTGGACGCCTTTAAGCGAAGGCTGGACAACCTTGCAGTGACACAAGGACTGTATCCAAATGGCCTATCCCCTTAAAATCGCATATACCATTCAAAGATAGACAATTAAACTGGTCGTTTTACTTCTTCACATTCCCTTCAGTCTTACTCTCCTGACAGCTTTAACTACACTTATTATTATTATTGTTATTATTATTATTATCATTATTACTGGTATATATATATTATATATATATATGTATACCGGTTGACTGACTGTTGTTACGTTTTCTTATTTTTTTTTCTCTGTCTGTTAGTCTGAATACCTTTACTAATTATATCTATTATTATTATTATCTCTTTTCCATTGACGACGATACCGAAAGACTAACTGGTGAAAGGATCAACTCCATTCACAGTAGTAACAGTCTTAACACACTTCATACTACAGACGCCATATAATTAATCCCAGCACTACTCCTGTTGGAGTCAATCAAAGCTACGACAGTCGAGTGGCGGGACGAGCTACACAGACGTTTACCGAAGATCAGGAACCTCTACCTTACAATCAAGAGGCGAGCGCAAAGAAATCAAATTGGTTTATACTAGCTCGTAAAAAGATATTGGATATTGGAAATGAGGGTTTTCCTAGTGATACGAAGTCTGCAACTACTAGAAGTGACACCGCCCTGGTACTATCTTTATATTCTCTATCTATCTATCTATAATCGAGTAAACAAAAGTACCCCGTCTTACTGCATACAGCACAGACGCATCAGCAGAAGAGGCGGACATTTATACGAGTAGCGAAAGATCTAACAGCAACAAGCTCCGGGAAACCACAAAAATTATACAAACTCATCATAAAGACAGCGGATTTTTTAAAAATAGTTCTCACGTCAAACAGAAAGAACTAGCATTGAGCAGGCTAAGTTATATTTTGAATGACCATGCACTGTGTTATCCAAGCATTATGTTATCCATATCTGCACAAAACATATTGGTCAAAAAAGCTTGTTTAAATACGTCAAAACATGTTGCTACTATAATTACATTCAAGACACCGATTGAATTATTGTGAAATATAATGGAGGAACAGGTCATCAAAAAAATTGAGGATAACAGAAGGATACATACTTATCCACTGTTAAAAGTAAGACAATTAATTTAACATCATATTCAAAGCACAAAACTTACATTTGATGGCCATGCCTTTATATAATAATAATAATTTGCTTTATTCCAAAACAGTACTTGTGATACAGAATATAATTCTCAGCATTTTTACTACAGTATTGCATCCAGTTAGTACATTATCGATCGACAGAATTCTACATACATTAAGGAAATCTTAGTTCATTATGACAACAACATATTGGCATGTCGGTAGCAAATGTAAAGCTGAACAGTGTTTGAAGGTGTTAGAAAAGTAGGTGCATATATATATATATATGAACCAGTCATTACAACAGTAGTAATAGCCGGCTTTTCTCAAAACTGCTTCTGTGGCATTTACATGGTATTCTCAGCATTTGGTACAATGTTGCACTTATTTCACTAAAAAGCTTTACGTGGCATATGTAAAAAAATTGCTAACAGCAACGTCTATGCATATGTATATATATATACATAAGCGCATGAGAACATCTACTTAGCTAGTTGTGAGTAGTTGTGTTGCATCTAGGATACCTTTGGTGCATTAAAATATCCACAAATTTTCCTCATAAAGCCAAGACGTTTTTTTTACCTGAATTACTTTCTCTATCGTGATACCGGTTAGAAAATAACAGGACGGTAGTGGTGAAGATCTGTAGGTCAGATAGATGATTTTGACTTAGTTGTGTCTTCTGAGCTGGTTGGTTTGATTGCGAAGCTTTTTTCGTCCTTATAGATAATTAACATCTTCATCTCAGGTTTTAGTATGAGACCTACTTTCCCAATGATGTGAGCTTGGGTAGCAACTGTGGGAAATATAGTGTCTCACTTCTTTTTAAACATTGTTATTTGATATTGTAGTCACCTGAATTAAAATTGTCGGAGATTTTGAAGAGGGAATTAAGGGATTTTATAGGGTTGTTTTCGTCATCCAAGTGTTGCATTTGCCTCAGAGTTTCCCATTGTTTTGCCCTTTAACGTTTCACTTGGGCTGTGAGTTTTTGAAATAAAATTAAATTCAAATATTGAGTCAGTACAAACAAAATATGCATATGGTAAATAAACATGTCTTCAGGCAGTCTACAAAAGCTCAACCTCCTTCCCATTTAATATTTTTATAATAGCATAGTGATATGAATGAAGATATGCAAACTGAAGTAATGGAATTGTGTGTAACTGCATGCGAAAAATTTTCAACTGATAACGAAGTGAGTTGTTAACGCATATTTAATTTACCTTAATAAATTTCTATAATTAAATGAATTAAGCATCTGCATTTGCACTACCGACAAGAGCTGTTTTATAAAACACTTCTGCATACAAAGGCGTACCAGCAATTACATTATCAACTACAACATCTATCCTTTTTATGAAAGCATTTTAGACTTGATTTTCTAAAGTGTTTACAGCGAACAAATAGCACTGTTAACTCCTTGTACATGTGAAGTTATCTGAATGTCCGATGATTCTCCAACCGGCAAAAATTAGTAGGCCTGCTGTTATTATTATTATTTTTATTGGTCGCTTGGGTTCCGAATGGAACATAGAGCTTCAACAACATATCTTCACTTTGTTCTACTTTCTACCATCCTCTTCATCTGAGTCCACGATTGCCCAAACTCTCATCTCTTCCTCATACGACCTCCTCCATATCACCCTCGCAGCGACGACCAACTCATCACTTCCCATTTGTATTCCACTCCAGCACCTGGTGCGCGATGCCACTTGACGATTTCCTCAATGTACGCCTGTTGTTAACACATATTTTTTACTGCGAACTGTTTACTTTGTCTTATAATAGGTTTTTTCTTAAAGTTAGAGAACCTTTTACTTTTCAGTTATGTTTTTAACTTTATATCATAAAGTTTTAACACTAATGTATGTTTTGTTGAGAAAACTTGTGTCTGTATCATTTGTTCTCGAAAATCAGTCAGTAGGATGCTGTATACATTGGTAAAACTCAACTCAGGCTAACAGGCAGTACGCAAGTGATGCTGAATAAACCTGATAAGCATTATAAATACACAGCAATAAAAAAATACACCTTCATGAAAGTAGGGAAAATCCTATTAGATAAACTTCCTAAAAACGACTTTAAACAACATTCTTAGGAAGCGTAAATGATGAAACTGTTAAATTTTACGAAAATGCATACTTATAAGTCTATTGCAGAGTCAGCTACCTAGAAATTTCTTTCGTATACTACCAAACGCCTTATTACGCTACAAACTCATTCATCACAAACAAAAAATGTGAACTACTTAAATACTTGTGTTGCATACTTATTTTAAAAACATGGCACAGAAAGGCAAACACAAAGATATCTTCACGGCACAACCTGCTCAAACTCTCTTCAGGTGACTATATCATCATACAGGAAGGTGTATAAAGGCAGGCTACATAACTTACATAATTTACACGTGTAATAACGATAGACTAGCCTAACCACTACGAAAAATAAAATCATGTTTTAAGCACGTTATTCATCACACGAGTGATCTACACGGTTTTACATTTCACGAATAGTTATCGCTTGCAAATAGCATTAATTCTTAACCCTTTGTCCAATTTATAGTTGAAATAGGAAGATATAAGTGTGAGAATGTCTCGCTTGTATACAACATTTAACTTTCCCCGAAAGACAAGGTTTGAATTTGAGAACTACTAATCTTGCTTTACTGATACTAACGTCTTATTCGTTATTTTATTCCATAATGTACATATGTAAATTAAAAGTCATTATTATTTTATCCTTCAATTAGGCAGCTTCACGTTTTGTAAAAGAGTCAATGGACAAAAAGTTTGGTGCAGCTTGGCATGTGGCCATTGGAGAAGGTTTCGGTTTTGAAATTACATATGATATCAAAAACATCCTGTACATGCTCTGTGGAGGGAATTTAGGCATAATTGTTTGGAAGTGTTGCTGATGATATGTGAATACCACAAAACGCAGTTGGAACAAGAGTCTGCGTAAGGATGAAAAAAGCATTTTTTCAAGAATTTCAATTTCCCAGAAAAGCCTCTCTGTGTGAAATTTTCAAACTTTTGCTACCATTCGGAGTTTCGCTAGGTGAAAATTAAGCGTAGTGATAAATTACCTCTTAAAAAATCTTTTTTCTAATTTTGTTCACTACCTTGAAATAATCATGTAACATTTTATATTCCCCTCACAAAATACAAAACTTCAATTGGTATAAACACTCTTTTATTTCAAATTAATGCAAGTTAACAACTTCACAGTACTTTATAAAGCACGGAAATGGAGTATGTTTTCTAATACTACTTATAATGTCTTAGATAACTAAACGTTCAATTAGGGAGAAGTTACTAGCTAAACATAAGTAAAAATCTGTTCATAAATAAAAGTGGGTTGAACTTTCCACTGTACCAAATAAGCTGACAATGCATGTAAATAATCTAAATTCATACTGAGTGGGACTAATAGTGTACTATAAGTCAATAGTCCGCCTGGTTAGTGTTGTTCGTGGATAAACCGAAGGACTTACCTGAAGGTAAAATGAAACCTTAGTCATAACTCTTTTAAGAGGAACAAAAATTGAAGAAAATAACATTCACACAACGCTAACCGAATTCATCACTGTCGACAATGATGTCCAAATAATGATAGCATGACTTTATAATCTCCAGGCGAATGAAGCTCATTCACAACACAAACGAAACTGCCAACTACTCACACGTAATGCCACGCACTCCATTAATTTACATATTTCATTAATCTCCCCCAAAAAACCGATACTACATTCCAAACCTTAGCCTGAAACGCATACCGACTAATCTAGTTTAACAAAGGCCACATCTAGTTTTTTAAGGCCTCGCTCAGAGCTGTATTTATAGTATGTGTTACCTGTGTTAAGTCAGCCGACAGTTCACAGTGACCAAAACTCTACCATATCGTGCACGGATGTATGCTGCTCTGAAGAAATTCTAATATATGCTCGAATTTAAGCTATTCGTTTAACCACAGAGTACTAGGGCTACAAACAGCTTCATCTATATAAACACTGGTCTATGATTTCGATTATAAGCAAAGGTACAGTTTAGCATGCCGACCACTGACGTCAACTCAACAATAGATCATATCATCATCGGTTACAGCAAGGGGCATTCACAGAAGTACACTTCTTACCGTTCTTAAGCAAGCATTGATCAAGGTTTATAGTTTTACACAACTTACTGGTCATAGAAGGGCAATACAAAAACTCTCAAAACTTAACTTGAAAATAAGAATATCAAGAATACATCTAAAATAGTGTTGGATAGACAGCTGGAGGGATACTTCTTTTCATATCCTGAGACAGTGACACGTCTACATATACCAAAACTAACTGTATTTGTTCACAGCAGTTGATCATGGTGATCAACAGGTCTTATGACAGTATTCCGCTGGACAAGCACTGGAATCTTTTTCTCAGTAATTGCGTGGAGTATCGGATAAGGATATACGTATATTTTCACTCAGCGTCATAATGCTTGCAACACTGGTAATCCCTTAATCCATGTTTAGCTTAATAGAGCGGGGAAATCAATCAGATGAGCTAGATTAAGTAGATAGCATAGTCCTATTAAGCAAAGAATAAGATCCTCAGGATACTTCCATCAACCATTTTAATGTTTCGGATACATTTCCCACATCCAAATATCAAATCGTCACTTTAAGTCAACAGTGCACCGATATCTGATTAAATAATGACGGGCGTAGTATTTGGACGTGGTTAACGCTTGATTTATTCAAGGACCCTGATGAAATGAGAGTCGACAAAATCACAGTACGGATACAAGACTGTTTCGATTATCGCAGAAGTATTTGGCTTATGACAGGAATCATTTAGGTTCAAGTGTACCGGGCATTAACACTATTACCCAATATATGATCACGCAACATCATCACTGGAAGTACGTTAGTGATGAAGACTTTATTAAGTGGCTGTCACTGACATCATAGGGGATGGTTCACGTTTGATAAAGCCATCATACAAACAATTTAGGAAGTTAGATCTGCATCGATAAGTATATCGAAACACCAGGTTAAAAATGTCATCTACGACCACCAATCGTTTATATTTTTATGTTAGTATAAGTAGGATTGGTTTGTGAGAAAGTTAACTAGATACAGACACGGCATCAATCAATGAAGTGACTAAATGTTAACATGAGCAGTAAAGACTATCTGACTTAGATGTAATTGACTGCAAGAACTTATGTGTAAAGAACCAGATGTCGTCTATGAACAGATATAAATTGCAGCTAAGTGAAGAACAAAGTTTTTTTCTGATTAAGCCAGGCACAGTCGGTTTCAACGACTAATTTATCTACTCTTACCAGCATGTTACTCTTAACTTCAACGTATCACTTTTAGGAGAGTCAGAGAAGGTAAACGGTGATTCCAAAGTACATGACAAACCAACTAGCCCAAAACTTTATAGTCTGGAGAAAATATCTCAATGCTGTAGGGAACAAGAAAGTAGATACGGATCATTTACTCCGATATGAGAAATAACTTCTTAACGATAATGACAGTGGAAAGAAAGTGAAGTAGAAAAAAAATAAACTATAAGCACTATACGAAAACACGACATAGCCCTCATGTCAGTTGACGTACAATCAGCAGACAGAAACTATAAATAGGCACAGAAGCTTATCATTGTCTTTACCAGATGCAACAAGGCCTTTTCACTGTATCCGGCAAAATCATGTTATTGTCTGCAGTATTAGTTTAAATTAACACACGAAAATTAGATAACAATAGCATCTTGTTAAGGTAAAAATGAGTTATTTATCTAAATCCTTTAGTGATTACTGCTCAAGGGAAAATGTCACATAAACTACAACCGAAATGTGGAAAGAAAATCTCATAAATTTCATAAAAATGAATACAAACCACCGCTATGATTATCCCTTTTCTAGATGAGCAATACCGACCCTACTCCTTCATTTCGATTCATGCACATGAACTAACATTGTTTCACTGTAAAATGCTGCTACAGGACTGGGCTACGTCAACTCCCAGCTTAGTGATAGGGAGAGAAGTGATAGAACATGTTGACCACTTCATCTATTTGGGAAGTTGCATCAGCACAAACGGATTGATTGGTGACGAAATCTCAGCACGGATCCAAAAAGCTCGGGCTGCTTTCGCTAATTTACGCCATCTCTAGTGTAGGCGTGACATCCGGCTATCAACCAAGGCACGTGTGTACTGCTCAGCAGTTCGCTCCGTCCTTCTCTATGGCTCTGAAACATGGCCAATTCGAGTTGAAGACATGAAAAGGTTGTCTGTTTTTGATCATAGATGTTTACGATCTCTTTCTCGCGTTAGGTGGTATAATAAGGTAAGTAATGTTGACGTTAGGCGTAGTGTTGGGCAAAGAGGGAAAATCAATCGAAGAGGCTATAAAGTTACATAGATTGAGATGGCTAGGTCACGTGCTGCGCATGCCTAACCATCGCCTCCCCCGACGGGCATTACTAGCTCATATAGGTGCAGGTTGGAAAAGAGTAAGTGGTGACGAAACAAAAACATGGCATCAATCCATGAAATCCCTGACAGTTAAACTGAGTCAGGTAGGGAAATGCAGACTTCCGGGTTGGGGCCCGCCCTCGGGACTCTAAGAATCAATGGCTGGAGACAATAGGTGACATGGCTCAAAATCGTTGTCAATGGCTTACGCAGATGTATTCAGTCTCTTTAACCTTCGTATTCCTTTCTACCATTACTCATTCTGTTTCACTCTTATACTTGTCAAAACTCTATTGATTCTCTTCACTCATTTTCTTGTCTACCTTTGTGTGGTATTTGGAACGTGGTAACTCGAACTGCTGTACTTCGGTGCCAAGTTCCATGTTGAATCCAGCCAGCCAACTAACATTGTTTAACAAAACAGAGAATCGGAGAGAGAGAGAGAGGTATTTAACTTATTGAACTGGTAAATAATAAAAGGGAAATAAACTGTATTTAAGAAAAGAGTTTATATTCTCAACAAACTTTTATACAAATCAACACAAAGGTTAAAAAGTAAGTAAATACAATACAAGAATATTGTATCAATTGCAAAATGTTCGACAGGCATTATGTGTATATATACCCTTAAGCATTTACGACTTGTTTATTTCTATGTCAGCAATGAGAAGTCTGTAAACATTTAAAACCGAAGGACAGTAGACGGGTACGTTGGAATAGACAATTTTACAATACATATTCAACATGAGAAATAAGTACAAATGGTAACAGAATTGTGGAGGGATTTGTGTTTACGGTGTGTGTGTGTGTGTATGTATGTATGTGTTTTTCATTCGAGTGTATATAAAGACGAAACAATTACAAGGCGACCATAGTGTGAGCACAACGAAAAGCATGCACGTCTGTAAATTACTTGTATCTTAGTGTATATATGACGCTAATTTGAAGATAAAACAAAATGAAATTTCTTCTCCGGTATTTCCATATATATATTTAAGAAGATATTTCGATTGTACACATATGCCAAAGTGAATAAATCTTCTAGCCTATCGAACAAGCAATCACAGGGGTAGAGAAGAGTGGTAATGCACTATAATTTGGGTTATAGGTAATGGAGATTGTTTCAGGACATATAATGATACATTGGATCAGCATCGTCTCCTCTTTTAGGCTATAAAAAACAAACAAACAAAGTAAAACAAAAATGAATTAGCACGACTGAAGCTTACGGTGACAAGTGTTAACAAGCACAAGATTTCGGTTCAGGGTTTCCCCGACCGATAACTGCTACCTTGCCGTGGTGGTCGGGCTTGAATGCCGCAGTGACCCAACAAGCTGAACTGGCTGGGACTCATATCCCTGCAGGTCCTACCATGCCAGGAAGGTTGTTTGGATAGCGGTTAGACTAAAAGCAGTTACCATGGGGTACATGGGCTCCAGAATTCAATCGGATCAAATGGCGTATGAACCCATATGGGTCACCGGCAACCATGGGAACGCAGCTTCTGACGCTGCTCTGCTGCCTTGCGGATTAGACTCCAAGTCAAAGGCTCGGGGGGTGATCCCTTAGGAAAACCACCTGCTTCGGTTTGGGCGCCTGGGCAGTATCTCAGCCCTCACACAATATTGTGTGGCGCATCTTTCTTGGTGCCATATTGTACCAAGTTTTTTCTGCGTTTAAATAAATAAATAAAATAAATTGACTGCATTCAACCAT